AGCTAACACACTATAAATCATGCCATTATTGGCCTTCGGTTGATGTTCTAATTTATGTATTCATGTACCTAGTGTCATAACAGTTTCGTGTTCAGGACCGAAATAGTTAGCATAGGAAGGACCAAAAATTTAACAAGTTGCATTTTTTGCCAAGTAGTAGATATTTAGTTTATTTGATTTTGTTTGTTTTATTTCTTTAATGCTGTGCAACATTAACGGATCTGTTTCCATTAGGACTTGGTTCATGTAAAGGATCCATCACATCTAGAACTAAACTCTAATTAGAACCCTGTACAGTGAAACCTTAGTCAGCCAATCATTACTAACAGTAAGCTTTCAAACAAAATAAGAAAGCTTCTTTGTCAACAGTAAAAAAAATAAATAAAACCCTATCAATAAAAAAAAGTATATGATGTTAAGACAAATTCTTATTTGGGATCTACAGCATACTATGCACTAAAATGAACACGGAGGACCAAAACAGTCATGGAATTTATATGGGAATTTGATTATAAGATAATCAAATGAACTATAATAAGTACTATAAATAAAAAGCATGAAAAACATTACATAGTACTTCAGACGAACATTTTAGATGGCCATGACCTTGTTGTGTGTGTCTGTGTTAGAGGGAGTAGAGAGGAGATCAGGAAGAGTGTATGCGAGGAAGTTACATTTCAGCTGAGAGCTAAATGAAAAATAGGAATTTAATAGCGCAACACTCTTTACATCAATGTATACAATTACATACTTTTTAATACTTAAAATGAACTTCACTCATTAAGAAACTGCAGGTCTGATGGCCCTGAGGTAGGAAGGAGTATAGTGAACTTCAGGATGAGTATGAAGGTTATACAAAAAAATTAAAAACTGAACTAGCATATGATCCAGCAATCCCACTCCTGGGTGTATAGCCAACGGAACTGAAATCAGGAACTTGCAGAGATATCTGCACTTTCACATTTATTGCAGCATTATTCAATAACTAAGTTATGGAAACAACCTAAGTGTCTGTCAATGGATGAATGAATAGTGAAGATGTGGTATATAAATACAATGGCATATTATTTGACCATAAGAAAAAAGGAAATTCTGCCACTTGCAACAGCCTGGATGAACCCTGAAGGCATTATACTAAGTGAAATAAGTCAGACAGAGAAAGATAAATACTGTATGATCTCACTTACATGTGGAATCTAAAAAAGCCAAAATCAGAGGAACAGAAAGTTAGAGTGGTTGCAGGGGTTGCAGGGAGCAGGAAATGGGAAGATGTTGGTTAAAGGGTACAAAGTTATAAGATTATAATTTATAAGATTATAAATTGTAAAGTTAACAAATTTTGGAGATATGATGTATAGCATGATGACTACTTGCTAAGAGAGTAGATTTTAAATGTTCTCATCACAAAAAAGAAATGGTAATTATGTGACAGACTCGAGGCGTTAGCTAATGCTACAGATGGTGATCATTTTGTGATACATGAATGTATGTGTCTAATCAACACATCGTTCACTTTAAACTTACACAATGTTATATGTCAGTTGTATCTCAATAAAGCTAGAGGGAAGAAAAGTAATTTTCTTTCAGCACTTATTTGCCTATTTAGAAAACAATTTGTACAGGGAAAACAAGATACATAGCATATCTGCTTGATGCTTTCCTTTATTTATTAATTTTTTGAATAACAAGTTGGTGCTCTAGCAAATTCCGAAAGTGACAAATGAGATTTTTTTTAAAAAGGTATCATTAATGAACTGTGGATTTTAATGTATTTGATGTGTATGGTACAAGTCATTAAACTTTCTTTTTTTTAATAGGGCAGCTCAGCGGCAGCTCAGCTCCGGCCAGGAATCAAACTGGTGACCCTGTTGCTCAGAGCTCGCACTCTTGAGCAAGCTCTTAACCAACTGAGCCACTCAGCCGGCTCAAGTCATTATACTTTTTGAAACTCAAATTGTCCCATCCTAGGGCAGGGGAACCTATTTCAATTATCTGTTATTACATTACAGACCACCCTAAAATGTAACTGGTTAAAATAGCACACAAAAAGACTCCTCTGACTTCAGTGTGCAAAATGGGCTAACGGTGGCCAGCATTAAGCAAGAGAGGTGAAAAAGAAGGCCAATTTACATTTAGCAATAGTAAAGAAAGAGAATAAGAGGCCCATACATTATGCCAATAAAACTATTCTGTCTTTGGCAGAAGACCAATAGAGCTTTCTTGCATAAGAAATTATGAAAATCTCAATAGCTATAACCCAGCAACTATTAACTCTTGAGATAGAATTTTAAAACCTGGGTTTAAAATACAAACCAAGAGAATCTGTAATTAATACTTTTATGAAAAATCCAACTACCTTGCCCGTGTCAAATACATAAATATATATTTTTTAAAGCCCTGTTATATAAAGGAGCCTTAAGATCATCTATTCTAAACTTCATTTTACTGATAAAGATATAAAGGCTCAGGGAGGTGTGAAGAATTGCACAAGGCCACAGAGATATTTGAGCATCAGAAGGAGAGGAAAGAGAAAAAGGAAACAGAGGAAATATTCGAAGGTATAATTGCTGAAAACTTCCCATATTTGATGAAAAACGTTTATCTACACCAGAAACTCAATGAACTCCAAGCAAGACACACAAACACTTAAACCCACATACATCATAGTCAAACTATCAAAAAGGCAATGAAAGAATCTTTAGAGTTACAAGAGAAGTGATCGTCATATACAAGGATCCTCAAGATTAAGAGCTGGTTTCTCATCAAATAACATGGAGGCTAGAAGGCAGTAAAATAATATAATCAAAGTACTCAAATAAATATTGACTAGTATCCTCAGGTTCTTTTAAAAAAATAATAATAAATAAATAAAATTTTACTGAGTACTAAGAACTAAGCACTGGGCTACACATTGGCTACATAAGTAAATAAACAGATTTTTGCATTTTCCAACTTTTACTTTATTTTATTTTTTTAAGATTTTATTGGGGAATTGGGGGAGGGGAACAGTGTTGGGGAATCGGGGAAGGGGAACAGACAAGTTGCTGTCCTTGTGGTCTTCAGTCTAGTTGTGGAGGACGTCGCTTCACTGGCCCATGTTGGTATTATCATTGCGCTCTTCCCGGGTGAGGCAGATCAGTCGCTGGCCATTGGACAGCCGCTCACGCTGGCTGCCGGCCACTCACAGTAGCTCATAGCAGCCCACTCAGCAGGGGCTGCAGCCTACGCCGTCACTGGTGACTCACGGCAGCCTAACTCCAGGTCAAGCTGTTGTTCACCATCTTAGCTGTAGAGGACTCAGCATCACTGGCCCTCATGTGGGATCCGAACCGGGGCCCTGCTGCTCAGAGCTGACATCCCAGGCCAACTCTTAACCAATGCGCCACTTGGCCGGCTCGCATTTTCCAACTTTTAATTAATAATTAACTTTATATTAAAAATTGAAATTTTTTTCTTTTTCTAAGATTTTTATTGGGGAATTGGGGGGATGGGAACAGTGTTGGGAAATTGGGGGAAGGGGAACAGACAAGTTGCTGTCGTTTTGTTCTTCAATCTAGTTGTGGAGGACATTGCTTCACTGGCCCAAGTTGGCACCATCATTGCACTCTTCCTGGGTGAGGCAGATCAGTCGCCAGCTTCTGGACGGCCTCTCACTGCAGCTGCTGGCTGCTCACACTGGCTGCTGGCTACACACGGTAGCCCATGGCAACTCACTACAGCAATGGCTGCAGCCTACGCCGTCGCTGGGGACTCACAGCAGCCCAGCTCCAGGTTGAGCTATTGCTCAGCATCTTAGCTATAGAGGGCAGTGTCACTGGCCCTCATGTGTGGGATCCGAACCGGGGCCCTCTGGCGTCCCAAGCCAGTTCTTAACCATAGCGCCGCTTGGCCAGCCCACAAAAAAAAAGGAATTTCAAGGGCTGGCTGAGTGGCTCAGTTGGTTAAGAGCTCGCTCAAGAGTTTGAGCTCTGAGCAACAGTGGTTCAATTCCCGGCCCGAGCTGAGCAACTGCTGAGCTGCCAGCAGATGGCAGGATGGCTCAGCTTAAAAAACAAAAAACAAAAATGGAACTTTAAATCTTTACTATTTTTAAAATAAAAAATGAAGTGTTTTTGAAATTGTTGGAATTCTCTTAAAATTATTTCCAGTGTTATTTCAAATTTTAATTTCACAGATAAATTTTTGGAAGCCTTTGGACTTCAGTTCTTGGAAGGTATGATTAATTAAACCTTGAGAGACTACTATTTCACTCAGTCTCTTGCCCAAAACAGATGCACACCACTACACTGTTACCAAACAGAAACCTGCTAATTCCAACAACTAGGACTTATTTACATTTAATCCAACAAAAATTGCTTTGTGGAATCTAGATATTTTCTACACGGCATTGACATTTACATAAAATCAAATTATTACATATATATATATATATACATATATATATATATATATATATGTGAGATCTTTAAAAAAACCATCCAGGAAATTCTATATAAGTTACATACTTCCTATTTATGATAAGATATTTTTATTTTAGTAGATAACAAAAAGAACCTAGGTAAGGATCCAAACATCTACAATATCAGCATATGAAATGATCAAAGAGTAATCATCACACTTCAAACTGATTTCAAAACATTGAATTATTTATTCAATAACTTTAATAGAAAAGTATTACATAAAATGCTTTCTCTAAACATCTTGGGAGGGCTTAAATGTGAATTTGACACCTCATTTAAGAATCTGTGCCTATACGTCTCCTGGTTGTACCAGATACGACCAAAGGCACAGTCGACACTCATTTAGGAGCTCTGGTTCTCCCACCTAATCCCACACAAAAACAAAGGTTAACCTCATCCCAAACTGAGAACTCTTAATCTGATAAAAAATAAACATGGCTTGGATTTCAGAAGGATTCTTTTAACAACAGAGATATCTCCTAAAGCATCATGAATTAGAGAACTTAAAAAAATATATATATATTTTATTTTTCAACTTACCTGATATAAATAATCTTCAAATACAAAATAATAATCATCATTGCTTGCTGTCAACTTCACATCCTAAAATTAAAAGTAGAGAATACTAAAAAGAACCTAAATATGCAATATTTATTTGCAATATCTAGAAAAAATACAGTAATATATAGAAAGATAATACAATATCTAGAAAGAATACTTAATTATTTTATTACTTTATGTATGATTATAAACTTCTCAATTAGATTTTATCACTGCTATAAATTTACTTGACTAATATATATGATACATTATTTGACATCAAATTGCTGATACCTTTTTAGGTCCCATTAGTAATTCCTTATTATTTATTTCAATTTTACCTCCTTTTAATCTAATATTTAGGTATCCTAAAAGTTGGAAAAACAGATCTAATCATAACACCCAGAAGCAACCATAACAATCTGGCATCAAATTACTGTTCCAACCTCATCTTCCACTGTTCAGGTCCTCATTCTTGCCATCCCCTCAAAATACCAAAAATCTTCCATGCCTTTGTAATTATTCACTTGCAAGTCATTGCTTCTTACCAAACAAACAAATAAGACAATGTTTACCTTCAAGAAGTCTACAATCTCACCAGCAAGAAAATAGACAAAGTAGAAATATGGGAATAATTGCAAAGAATTATTGCAGAAACCCCTGATAATAAAGATGAATCAACAAAATTCAACTGAGCTGTTGAGCAAAGCAGCGATCAGGGAGGATGACATGAGTCATGGGTGACTCTGGAGGTGGTTCAATGTATGTTAAGTCTGGGAAAACTTAAAGACACAGATGACGAGAAAAGAGGGGCCGGTCTTCTTTGTCAGAAGATGATATGGGCAGAGGTAAAGATCATTCATTCTCCACAGGGGTGATATTGCCTCTAAGGGGGTGAAAATTGGTTCTTGGGGCCATAAAGTTGTACACATTACAATGGTCTGTGGACCTCCAAAGCTTATCCTTACCCAGCAAAATCTTATTCTTTGGTATTTCATTTTTATATTAGAGAAAAATTAGTGACTTTTTCTCTTTAGGGGGTAATAAGGAGGAAAAAGTTGAGAAACATTGGTATAAACTGTTGAATCATAGTAAGTGGTGGAAAACTGTAGATGGTGGGGATAAAACGCAAGATTGTGAAAAAATAGAGTCCAGAAAGAACCATTTAATAATTTAGCTTAGGGAGGGTTGGATGATGTTCTATATTTAGTATTGCCTTGTTTCATTCATTCCTTTAACCACTAAAATAATTCAACTTTATTTTCAGTAAAATTAAAAATGAGTCTTTGCCAAAGGGAGCCATAATGAAACTTCACATAATTTTTTTTAAATGCTCATTTCCTCAAGGGCTGACTTTAATAACGTTTGGAGTTGCTCCAACAAGATCAGCAGAGCTAAACTAACATAAGCCAGGGACAATCAGAGACAGATATCCTCCCCAAAACACTCAAGCTGTGGACAGTCAGGATTGACTCTACCAAAACTCTTAGTCAATTCTTCAGACACAAACTGTTTACTTCTTTCTCACAGGAGATTTTCTTTACTGATGCAAACTGACTTTCATGTTGGCAGCAAAGAGAATTCTCATACTAGCACTCCCTGGTTTCCTGAATGTTTTTTCTTGTGAGTCTTCTCTCATTTGAATAGAAAAGAGGCTGAAGTCTTAAAGCCCAAAAGATCTCTCATGCAGTTGCTACAAGAATCCCGAGCACAATCATTTGACCTCCAAGCTAATACTAGTACCTGTGATCCACATCTATGTAAAACCTCTGTGAGACTCAAGACTTTTCATCAAAAGACTGTATCCTCTTAACTCTCCACATCTTTGCTCCCTGTAGAGTGTAGTGGTTAAAGGTCCGGTCGAGAAGTCAGATGGCCTCGGTTCAAATCTTGGCTTTTCTACTTGACATGTGAATTTAAACAAATTTCTTTAATTTTTCTTTGCCTCAGTTCCTTCATCTGTAAAATGCTAAAAATAATAGTACTTCCTGTTTTGTTATAGCACACGTGTCAATATGTGGCTGGCTGGCGATTAAGAGAATGATGTAAGTATAACACGGAAATTGTGTTGGTTCATATGAATGTTTCTTTAAAAATGGGGAGCCAATATCATGAGTAGAATCATAATCAGGAAAGGAAAGGGCCTTCAGCTCAGCTGCTGCACAAGGACGACCCCTTATAAATGTGTTTCAAGAAAATGAAAAATGAGTGACTGCACTGGGGGCTCTCTCTCCAGAGAGGAACCCCCAGCCTTGCATATCTCTTAGCTCTTTTACCTCCTCTCATGCTCACCTTAACAGCAGCCCCAGTAGCCCAGTCCACCACTTCTATCTGCATTATTTTAGCATTTCCACTTTATTTTTTTTCCCACTTTATTATTTTTATACATTTTTAATAGCTCCTGCAGGAGAAGCCTGCCTGAGCTGTCCAATTCATCTCCCAAGCTACCAATTATTGTCTTTGTTTAGTATTCTGGTTACAAATTGCAAAACCTACTTCCACCTTATTTTTCCCATAAGCTCTATTATTTTTAAGGCATGATTTTTTAGAATGCAAAGGTTTTTGGGGTTTTTTTCCCAGGAAAAAGTTTATCATTTATAGCCTAAATGTTGGTATCTGCTGCTCGTAAGGTAGCTGTTAGGATCAGACGACACTCTATGTAAAGAGTTTGGAACACTGTATGTCACATAGTGAGCAGTCATTAAATACTAGTAGTTGCTATTATTAACCGTGGTCATGTTCTACCCAGACAAATGTTCAGGTCCTCAGTGTGCAATCTTCTTTCCCCCGTTTCTGAGACCTGAAATAATATGCCCTTCTCCTCTATCCTGCAAGTTCTAAATTTAAAATCAGAGTGTTTTAAATAGACTAATTATTAATCCAGAATCAGCCACGTCCTATATCATGCTTACCGCATCTACTTCTCAACTTGACATCAGATGCCTGGAGACAAAAACTCAGTGTATCCCTATCATAAAACTTGAGAGGCGCTTAACCATATGTCTAGAAACTAAAAGAAATTAAAAATAAAAAATGACTTTGATACAAGAGAATAAACCCATAGGTTCTAAAGAATCATGAGATAGATAAAATAAAAATATTATAGTCTGACTTTCCTTTTAGTTGCTTTTTTATTTTGTATGGTAAACTTAAATTGATAAGGACAAGAAATGCTATCATTCCCTTAATCAAAAAATGAGGAGCAGGAAAGGATAATGACAGCTGCAAAGAGTAAGACGATAACATTGAATGGAGACTGCAAATTTTCAAGGTCAACCTTAACTTCACAAATATAATGAACAATTAAAATTATTTTTCAAGGTTAATATGAATCATCGTACATAGCGCAGGGCCTGCATGTTAAAGCCTCTCGATAATTGTTTAATATTAAACATGGAAAAACTATGCACACTTTTACTTACTTTATAAATTAGACTGTCCACCAGAAGGTCATGTTGTATCACATTGGTCTTAAGCTGTTCATAATACAATATATCCTACAGTTAAAAATAAAACAAAAAAATTAAAGGTCAATCACATTTATAGAGTGTGAATCATCCTCAAACTTTAATAAATAATCATTAATAATCATATAAGTAATAATCGTTTAATAAATAATCATTATTCACTACTACATTTTCTCCTTCTGGTCAATTCTAGAGGCTCAATAAATATACTTAACCCGGTCACTTAGGATAAGATCTGGCAGCTGGTGGGTATTCAATCAATGTTTGCTAAATTGATTAACTATAATTTAACTTTTAACAGCAAATATGGTATTAAATAATTACTAGGTGCCAGGAACTGTTTTACCCACGATACGAGGTCTGACAAGTAAGTTCGCGAACTCACCTTAGAAAAAGTGCTACATGCCTCATTGCTGACTATCACTATGGTCACCTTCGAAGTACTCCCCTTGGGAAGCTATGCACCCTAGTCCACCCTTCAAAGCAATTTTGGAGCTCTTTTTCTGGAATGGCCATCAGAGCTGTCATCATATTACCCTTGATGTCCTAAATATCATCAAAAGATCTTCCTTTCAGTATTTCCTTATCTTCAGGTAAAGAAAGAAGTCATTAGGGGACTAGATCAGGTGAATAGGAAGGGTGTTCCAATATGGTTATTTGTTTACTGGCTAAAAACTCTCTCACAGACAGTGCCGTGTGTGAGCTGGTGCATTGTCACGATTCAAGAGCCGTGACTTGCTGGTGAAAAGCTCAGGTTGTTTTTGTCTAACTTTTTCATGTAGCCTTTTCAGCACATCCAAATAGCAAACTTGGTTAACTGTTTGTCCAGTTGGTACAAATGCATAATGAATAATCCCTCTGATATCAAAAACAGTTGGCAAGGGCCGGCCAAGTGGCATGATGGTTCCACATATGATGGCCAGTGACACTGCCCTCCACAGCTAAGATGCTGAACAACAGCTTAACCTGGAGCTGGGCTGCCGTGAGTCGCCGGCGACGGTATAAGCTGCAGCCCCTGTGGCAGTGGGCTGCGCAATGATGATGGTGCCAACTTGGGCCAGTGAAGCAACGTCCTCCACAACTAGACTGAAGAACAAAACGACAGCAACTTGTCTGTTCCCCTTCCCCCAATTCCCCAGCACTGTTCCCATCCCCCCAATTCCCCAATAAAAATCTTTCAAAAAAAAAAAAAGGTTAGCAACATTGTTGCAACAAGTTTGGGAACTTAATTGTCAGACCTCATATACGGGTTAACTCATTTAACCCCCATACCAACAAAATAAAGTAGTTCTGATTATTATTCCAGTTTACATTGGAGAAATTGAGGTCCAGAGAAAAAAGTTAGTTGCTGTCCCAGGCTACAAAGGTAGGAAAATTTGATCCCAGAAAACCTGGCCCCAGAACCTATACAAAACCTAGAAGGACTACTTTATACTGCCTTTCTAATATCTACATTATTATAAAACAAAAAGGTTTAAACATACTAAATCATCCTTGGTAGTAAAAGCAATCATATAGCATATGAAAGAAGTCAGTTTTTTTAATGTTAGAATATGGTCCCATAATACTATAAATTATGATTCATCCTATACAGTGATAAGATTAGGCTAATGTTTAATCTAATAGAGAAAAGAAATAGAAGGAACAGAGGGAAGATGGAAAGGAGAGAAAAAGGGAGGAGAGGAAAAAGAGAGAAGGAGGGACTTAAGCATTAGGTTAATAGTTGTTCAGAGCATTCATAATAAAGGTTACAAAAATGAGTAAAGGTAAAACTCAAGTGGATGGTAGCTGTGTTAACGGGAGATGGAAATATCTCATTAGTTTAGCTGACCCCTGTGTTCCTCCAAACCCCTCCATTCATTTGTCAGGCACTTTATGTAGCCCTGGTTTGGCTCCATTAGCACACACCAATGTGATTCTTTCTGAAGAAATTCCATCAGACAAGGAAGAGTTGTGGGGCGGGGTCGTCTGGGACACAGAAGAACATCGGTTGTGGGGTAGTTGCCTTGGCTAGCTAGGGCAGTTACTACAGGCAGGCAGTGGCGAGTTTCCAGACTACGGTAGGATGAGGAATTAATGAGCTTAAGTAACAGCATCCAGCACAGACTTTTCTTTCAGGGTGTTTAGCTTCAAAAGTAGAGGAGGCAAGAGCAGGTGCCGATGAAATTAAGTTTACAGGTTTACTCAGAGGAATTTGAATGAATTTCTTATGATGACTTCTGTTTTCTCTGGGTAGGAGGAGGTGAGGTCTTTTGCTAAGAGTCTGTAAAGAAGTGGTTAGGAGAGTGAAGGTCAAAAAGCGTCCCTGTGAAGACGAGGTGGGCTGACCGGGAAAATCAAGGTCAGGCATTGTTGTGGACCTACGTCAGGTGGAGAAGGTCATTTAGAAATCACTAAAGAAAACCTTAAATGTTAATACTAGTCTTGGCTATTTTTAGTAAGCAAGTACCTAAAAAAAGTATAGAAAAATTTTCTGTCTTCTTTTATTTAGGAAGCTAAAATTAAGCACAAAATTAAAAAATATGAATAAAAAAGTCAAAGTTTGAAAATGTTTTTGTGAAAGGACTAAATAAATTTAATTACTAGGAACTTAAAGCACTATATCCAAAGTCTCTCTATTAAGATGAGATTTTTAAAAATAGCTTCACGGGTGTGAAATATTCCATTTATCTAACTCCTTACCTATGACTGCATTTGTATGTGTGGCTTATTTTAAGTGACTGAAAAGCAATTCAACAAAAAGTTCTGATTAAATAGTCTTGATAAGAGATAAGTATTCTCTCCTTCTCTTCCTGTCTTTCCCCCCCACCCCTCTCTCTAATGTACCACCCTCCACAATTATTTTGGATGTTGAGGTCACACTTTTACAGCTGAAAATAAGTGTAAGTGATAGAAAGTGTTTTATTCAACAAAATCAAGGTTGCTTTTCTGAAAATATGAATTTCTATTCATATTCAAGTGAAAAATTCAAGTGCAAAGAACACCTTTGAACATTATAATAAACAATTATTATCTAAGATTACTATTTTTATTCTAGGATGATATTTCTGGGAAAATTCTAAACGTTTTTGAAATGGCAGTAGTTAGTTCCTCTGCATAGAAAAAGGATTGGTTAATCTAGTTCCCAATCAGTGAAGTTGGTAGGTCATCTACACAGATCAGGACACAAATTACAAACACTTCTACAAGAGCTAATACACTCACAAAAAATGCCCAACACACTCAAATCTGTTTTGTAAACTGTTCCTTCTAAAATGTCACCACAACAGATCAGCAATATCATTTGGTCTAAAACTGCTCTGAAAAGAATCACACACTTTATTCTTTCAAAAAAGCAGCACATGATGTTTGACAGTGCTGTTCAGAGAGGTAGACTTAATAGACACAAGCATGCACGCACACGTATACAATTTGCAAAGGTTAGAAGTGTAGTTTTTATAATAGATAATGTCTGACTTCTTAAAAACTGCATTATTATGTTATCATTAATTTATAACGTAATTATATGCAATATGTAATTATTATTACTACCATTAATGGTGACCATTTATGTCAGGCACTGTGTTAAAAGACTCACATACATTATTTCATTTAATTCTCACAACCACTCTGATATAAATATTTTGCCTATATTTAAGTATGGGTAAATTGAGGTTTGAAGAAATTTAAGCAGCTCACTCAATGACACATTTCAAGTAAGTTAGGAGAGCTAGGAGTTGGAAAGTCTATATGATTCTAAAACCCATGTTTTTCACCACTAGGCTGGGGAACTATTAGTTTTCTATTTATTAAAATATTTAAATGGATGACTTATATGATTAAAGAGCTTAAGGAAAAAAAACTCCCACTAAAACTATTTTAAAAACAATCAATGTCTTAAATAATTTTTCTTTATTGAATCTATTACATGTCTGTTGGTGATTTCATCTTCATTATACTTCCTAAAACAAAATGTTCTTATACTTAGAAAAATAACATTCCCACATAATCTGTCAATTTTCAGAACCATAAAAATAGTACATATTTCAAAAGTAACTGTAAGGACAAAGTACTCATTTACTTGAGTTGCCCGTTTTGTTTTTTTCCCTATTCTAACTTCCCAGTTCTGCCACACATCACTAATCTAAACTGGCAGACTCCATTCCTTAAAATTTTATTTATTGTTCTGATGTATGTGTAAGTGCACACTAATTATTCATAACAAAAACTTCTATGTGAAGCACACAGTGATTAAATTATGTTATGCTTGTCTTAGAACTCAAAACTACAGTAATTTTGAAAACAAAAAAAGGGTATTTATTAGACTAATAAGCAAAAGTATTTCTATTTTGAATAACTGGTCTTTGAAAAATAAATAGCAATAGTTCAAATGTGGCCCGTCCTTTTTTCTTCTTACCTCAGGATGACTGGAAATATTCAAAATGAGAGCCCATAATTCAGCTCTCAGTGCCGTGGGACTTCCTTGTCTGATATATTGTTGAGCAGCAGCACTATCTTGCTCCAGTAGAACTGGCAAAAGTACATTAAAATCTCATTAGAAAATTCATAATTTAAGAAATAACACTGAAATCTTTACTTAACAGTCTTCTGGAAAGCTGACATTTCATCTTTATATCTAGCATAAATACATCTTGTCCCGACAACCTTCCTATACTTTCTGAATTTTGTTGTGGCTCTATTTACAGCCTTATAAGTTTTAAGCTCCTCCAACCCCCAGCCTGCCTGGTAAAAGTTTTTAATGTCGGTACCTTGCAATCACTTTGCTTTAACTACATACAGTTCCATGAATCTGAAACTAGTGATTCATGTATATAGTAAGTTTTGGGTTCTATGATCAAGTAAAGTCATATCTACAGAAACCCTAAATTTCTTATGCATATTCTACTAAGTCATCAATGTTCTAGTATTTGGAAGTAGTATGGTATTTGAAGTATTACGGCTAAGAATTACAAAGACTTTAAGATATCCATTCTATTAGGGGACTTCTTAGCTATCTGCCAAAATCAACAGAAAAGAGGGATTTTTTAAAAGAAAACTAAAAAAGATCTGATAACCTTTTAAGAGGGCCAAAATTTATTCATAAGCAGCCAAATTCACAAAATCAATCTATTATACTTTTACTTTCATTTTCATTTTTGTTTTCTTTAATGAAAATACCAGCTACTCAGTCTGGAAATAAAACACCCCCAACACACCCCACCCCACCCCAAAAGACATATTACACAACTGCTGATATTTGTCTAACAGTGCTGTTTCTTGTATTTTCTTCTTAAAAGAAAAGGGAAAAAAATCTTTTACTAAATAAAAATGACAAAACCAAATGAAACAAAGATGATATGAAATAAAAAAATGAAACATTTTAAATTTGCAATTGTGTTTAATGAAAATGTTGAATCACACAAATGAAGTCTTTTAAATAAATGTGATTTTGAAAAATTAAACTAGGAAGTTTAGAATATGAACATATAATTGCTATTGAAGGTTCATTCTGACACAAAGAGTTATTTGTACTTTGTATTTCAAAGACAAAACAGGATTTACAAAAACAAGGAAAAAACCTTCAGAAGATGGGGAAAAATTATTCCCCGGAACACTGGAGCCGCCTCCGTTATTATTAAGTCTTACCATCAGGAACTGTCCTCAGAAAGGGTGACGTGTGACGGTTACATTTTTCCCTGATGCAGGAGCATAATTCCCATTAACACTAATGAGAAGTGTGTGGGCGCATCAAAGAGAGAACCTGCTTCTTTGATTTTAAAATGAAATTCTATTGCTGAAGGGATTAAGCTAACATCCTTGAGGAATGTGTATCTGCATTTACTATTTCCTTTTCATTGAACCATCTGTGGACTTCTTTATCTGGCATTTATGGATGAAGCCAAAATGATGCATTTTCCCCCTTGATAAAGGTTCCCATTATATTATCTGTGTAGTTAAATATTACTCCTTTTTAGGCTCTTAGCTTTTCAGAGATTAAATTTCATTTGGGGTATATGATACAGACATTTACTTAGGATGGTCTCATTTTCAGAAGTTATAAGAAATATAATTAAAAGCTTACCTTTTTGCCCAATACGTACATGCTCATTTTCAAACAGTTCTAAAAATGATAAAAGAAAATCAAATTATTAAACACTAATATGATCAGCCACAATTATAATAGTATTTTTTCTCTGGTATTGATACTTTGAATTAATTTTAGAGCTGAACGCCTCTATAGAAAACTATAAGAATATATACATATTTTTTTTTTAGATTTTTTTTTTATTGGGGAATTAGGGAAGGGGAACAGTGTTGGGGAACTAGGGAAGGGGAACAGCCAAGTTGTCCTTCAATCTTAGTTGTGGAGGGCGTGGCTAGCTCAGCTCCAAGTCCAGTCGCCATCTGGCCGCCCGGCGGCAGCTCGCCGGGTTCAATCTTAGTTGCGGGTGGGTGTAGCCCACCATCCCATGCGGGAGTCAAACCAGAAACCTTGTTGCTAAGAGCGCACGCTCTAACCACTGAGTCATCCGGCCGCCCGTCGACAGCTCAGAGCAGCTCAGCTCAAGGTTCCATGTTCAATCTTAGTTGAGGGTGCGCGTAGCCCACCATCCCATGCGGAAGTAGAATTGGGAGCACATACTCTCACCAGCTGAGCCATCCTGCCACCTGTTGGCAGCTCAGCAGCAGCTCAGCTCAGGCACAGCTCAATGGCCCATGTGGGAATCGAACTGGTGACCCTGTTGCTCAGAGCTCGCGCTTTTAACCAACTGAGCCACTCAGCCAGCCCCACACTTCATTTATTAAAAGCTCTAGATGTTTGTACATATAAAAATATTTTTAAGTTGTTTAAAGTTTGTAGAAATTAAAAGAGTTAAGTACATTTAATCAGAAGAAAAAATTGAGAATTTTCCTTTGTTAAAATAAAACAGGATATCTTCTCACAACACAAAAATGTTTCTGTCCATTCATCTTTGATTTTTTTCCTTAAAAACCCCACAAAACTTGAGTGGTTGCCAGAGGTGGGGTGGGAGAGAGGGAAGAAATGGATGAAGGGAGTCAAAAGGTACAAACTTCCAGTTATTAAATAATTAAGCCATGAGGATATAATGTAGAACATGGTGAAGACAGTTAATATTGTATTACATTTGAAAGTTACTAAGAGAGTAAATCTTAAAAGTTCTTATAAGAAAAAAAATCTGTAATTATGTATGGTGATGGATGTTAACTAGACTTATTGTGGTGATCAATAGACAAACATTGAATCACTATGTTGTATACCTGAAACAGATAATTTTGTATGTCATTATACCTCAATTAATAAAAAAACTTGTCAGCTTCATTTGCAAAGTCCTACTTCTACCCTAATCTACCATTAAAGCAAATCTAATAATTTAAAAAAAATCCTTAATACTACACAGGTAAAAATCCCACTATAAAAATGCCATTTAAAAAAATTATGCGTAAGAAGCAAAGGTTGGTTTTTAAAGTACTAATCAACAAGAGAAGACTCAAGCTAGACCAAATTAAAATTTAAAACCTTCTGTTCACCCAAGAGAGTGAAAAAGTTCTGTTCACTGAGAGTGAAAAAAGTAAGCCACAGAGTTTGTAATATGTATATCCAGCAAAGGACCTGTATGTATAATATATAAAGAATTCCTAGTAAGTCAAGAAGAAAAAGACAGACAATTATCTGACACAAATAGGCAAAAGACTTGAACAGGTTTTTTACAAATTAGGCAATCCAAAGGACCAATAAAAATATGGAAAAGTGCTCAACCACATTAATCATAAGAGAAATTCAATTAAAACTGTTATGAAATACACACCCAACACAATGACTAAAATGAAAAATACTGACAATTCTAAATGCAAAGGAAATGGAGTAAATGAACTTCTCACACAAAGGTTGCGGGAGTAACCTTTAAATTAGTACAACCACCTTGGAAAACTGGCAACATTTATGAAGACTAAATATATGCATATCCTAAGACAACCAGCAATTCCTTCTCAGGAATATACCCTCATGCCCATATACTTGGCACCAAGAGACATATACAAGAACATTCACAGCAGCGCTATTGATAATAACGAAATAGTGGGAACAACTCAAATGATCATCAATATTAGAACAGATAAATAGCATACAATGAATTACCGTATTTGCCGGCGTATAAGACGATTTTTTGGCCCTGAAAAATATGCCTCCAAGTGGGGGGTCGTCTTATACGCCAGGTACACTTCAGATAGACTGCCCATAGTGCTTGCCCCGTGCCATAGTGGCCTCCCGATGCCCGCCCACTTCATTCCACATACCGTTCAGGCATCAGCAGCGCTGCTGGGTGTATGCTCGGCTGTTATGCGATTTTGCTGTTATGCGATTTTACCACACTCGCAAAATCGCACACAGCCGACCATACACCCAGTATGATAGCGCAAAATCGCGAATCGCGATTTATGTATATGTTTGATTACATACAGCCTTGTGACAGTTTTCCTGCATGTCATAAGCATTTGAATATAAATATAAATGTTGAAATCAAATCTGATATTGCTTTACCTTTTATTTGGTGTGTGGAAGGTGTGCGGAAGAGGGGGTAGTCTTATACGGCGAGTATATAACAAACTCTGTATTTTGAGTGGAAATGTTAGGGGGTCGTCTTATACGCCCAGTCGTCTTATACGCCGGCAAATACGGTATGATACAGCTATGAGAATGAATGATTTATAACTACACACACCATATGGGTCTCACAAACACTAAGCTAAAGAAGCTAGATGCCAAAGAGTACATAGTGTAAGACTCCATATGCATAAAATACAAAAAGAGGCAAAACTAATCTACGCTGTTAGAAGTCAGAATAGTTATCACCAGTGGGGGTGTGCCTAAGGGGACTTCTGGGATACTGATAATATTTTATTTCTTGATCTGGTCAGAGGTTACACAAGGGTGTTCACTTTGTAAAAATTTACTGATCTGTATGCTTATGTATCCTTTGTATCATTTTCACTATGTATGTTATAGTTCCATAAAAGTTATTTAAAAATTAAAGCAAAGCAAACCAAAAAGAATATATAAAACCACGAGGGGAAGAACTTAGCTCTTTTCCCCATCCCAGAGAAAATCAGTTTAACTTCCTTTCCTTTCTTTCTGCCCACCACCTGAGAAAGGAGGACCTGCTCATTATATTTGTTAGATTCTACAACAGCGGTTAGTTACCCTTTTCTAATTAATGGGATCACTGTGTGTTAAAGGTCTGAACTCCATGTGACTCTGCCTAAGCAGCGCCTGGGTTCCCTGGCAGTCTGGCAGCCATCTTGGCACTTGATTCTCTTTTGAGCAGAATGCTCATGTCACACACTTTGACGTTCTTACCTGAACTCGGTGGCCTGCTGCTGGTGAGATCTGGGCATACAGGGAGATGGAGACCTGTTCTAGGCTAAGATTTCCACATAGTTTTCGAGAAAGCCTGTTCTGTGATGTCCAGGGTTAGCCCAGTTATATATAAAATGGTACTGCACTTCTATTTTCCATTTGCTAATATTTTCAGTGCTGGATAAGTTTTTTTGAACTATAATTCTTTTATTACCAGAAGGCACACAACACTGATCCCTTTACAATTCTGCTACGGCCTCAGAACCTCAGAATTTCAAAACAACTCATCTTTTTAGATTTACATAACATTCACTTAGAATAAATGTGAGTTTGTTGATTTTGTTCATAATAGAATTAAATATTTAGCTTTGATGGTTCAGACCTAATTAAACAGAAATGACCGAGTTTGGGCCTGAGATAAATGTGGTGGAGAAGCACAGAACTCTATCCCGATGCACGCAAACCATGCTCCATTAAAATAGTCCTGGGACCTCATCGAATGGGCCTTCAAATAAGGAATTAAACATTTTTAAATGTACTGATTAAAATAAAGAAAGTGTAATGTCACCAAACATGTGCATTTTCCAAGATTCATTTAAAATTCAGACTAATATTTAATAATAGTATTTCAATTAAATTGTGGCATTTGAAAAACATTGTACTTCTAGGGAAAGATCAGGTCAACGTGCTTTTTTTGGGGGGAGACATGTTAGGAAAACTGCAATAATGAATAACTAATATTGTCTTAACGTTTCTAAAATCACATAAAAATGACCATCTTTGATTGCCATTTCAGTTAATCTTGATACAGGGGATGTTACTGTCTGCTTACTAGTAACCCAAACACACATAGAACAGACTTGTAACAAATATTCAGAATCAATTATTCCCATGAGCTAAACATTTCTGAGATTTTTAAGATTTGTGTTTGAGAATACAACGCTGTAATGTTGGCCACATAAAACAAACAGAAAATCTTTTTGAGAGAAAGCTCAAAAATCAGAGGCTGTATCATCACATTTAAGGATTTAACACCTGCTATACACAGAAGGGAAAGAATTTCAATTAGAAATACTTCACCTGTTACCGAGTTCTCTCTTTTAAGATGGCAACATTTAGCAGCTTACCATTCTGACATTTAAAAATCAACAGGAATAGTGCGCCTCTTTTATCTTTTGGTTCCCGGTGACAAATAATGCAGTAATAATGCCTCTGGTTTTCAGTTCCTCTTGGATGACATTTATTAGCAGAGAGAAACCTGACTCTTTAGCTAAATTTGGCAGAGCAAGAAGTGCAACAACTGCTCCAAAGTATCCCTCACGCTCTAGAAACAATGCTTTCAGTTGACCTTTTGACCAATAATCCAGTGCATATGCCAAAAATTTCACTGAGAGAGTACTGACATGGAAAAAGGTTCCAACAAAGACAACTGTTTATTTTCTCACTAACAACACACATTTGTGCCACAGAACCAATGTTATTAGTGATCAAGGAGCTCTGGTTAGATCTTTACTAACAGATTCTCGCTTCTCCTTATAAACCATATTCCCAAAACTAGATGCTGTAGCCCCAACCTGGCAGACGAAATCTTTCATAATCTCCTCCATAAATACCACGGAATAGCTTGTCAGCTTGGGTGCTGTCACCTTTAAATGCCATTTCAAAAGCCTCTTCAAAACTTTCACAGCCAGTCAATAAATTGCATAAGTCCAGAAAGGTGCCCCCTACAAGGCTTGTCCCAGTTA